AGAAGAAGAAGAAGAAGAAGAAGAAGAAGAAGAAGAAGAAGAAGAAGAAGAAGAAGAAGAAAACGAAGAAGAAGAAGAAGAAGAAGAAGAAGAAGAAGAAGAAGAAGAAGAAGAAGAAGAAAAATTATAATAATAATAAAACAAAAAAAGAAATTCTATTAAAAATATTCAATTCATGTGGAAGTGGCATATCATCTTATTAAAAATATGTATGCGGCATAATTTCCTATAACTGCGATATATAAGATTCTAGAATTAGAAAAAAATGATGCTAAACTGGAATACACTTTTTCCACGTCTTCGCAAATGCCTGAAATAATAATGATAAAATTATTATTAGATTATAATTTAAAACATTTTATATTTCAATAAATATTTCACAAAGCAAGTTTAAATATAACAAAAAAATATATGAAAAAAAAAAAACTAAAAAAACTGGAAATAAAAAAAAATAAGAAAAAAAAAACGAATTTACATTTTTCATTTGAAAATACCTTGATTAATAAGTGTATAAGATCGTTCATCTTCAACTTGTTCTCTGCGACAAATGCGATCTAATTTAGTTAACCAAAGTTTTTGTTCAAAGACTTTTGTTTTAGCCGCTTTTGCAGTCATGGATGTTTTTTCTATATTATTAGTAAATCGCATAGAAAAACAAAAAGTTTGTCCGAAACTTAAAGAAGCTTGATTGGTTTTTAGTGACACTATTGTATACCAAGTATCTTTTTCTTTCCAACTGCCATGACAATAATATGCTACAACAACATTTATTCATTTTTTTCATATTTAAAATTCGTATAAATAAAAAATATAAAAAATAAGTATAAAGAATGCTTACTTGTTTCTTCAGTATCACATGTTTTTCCAATAACAATTTCTGTTTGATTTGATGAGACACAACCTATTTGAACATTGGTACTCTTACAATCTCCTTTTTGTTGTTGATGTTGTTCTCCTTCATGTTGTTGTTGTTGTTGTTGTTGTTGTTGTTGTTGATGATGATGATGATGATGATGATGATGATGATGATGATGAATTTGTTGATATTGTTCGTGTAATTCTTTTTGAGGTAATTCTTCATGCCAAGTTCTTCTTTTAATAATTTTAGAATGTCTTTCATTATAATGTTGTTGGCGAAACGAAGTAGATATATCAAATGGTCCAAGTACAATGTATCGTCCAGGATTAGGACATTTTCTTTGACGTAATGAAGAACCTATTATAATAAGGAATCAACTTATATATGTTATATTTTGTAATCATATAGCTGAAATTGAAGAATTCTTTGAATAAGAGTGTTTCTCGAGATATTTCCTTTTTCTGCATTTTTGTGATCTATTGACTTTATTATATGTACATGCTTTAAATTACTAATAGTATATATAACTGTTAATATTATCTATATAATATAATATTTATATAATGTAACTTCGTAATAAAAAATTATTATATTATTTACAAAAATTTTAAATTTATCTAAGAAGTAAACATAAAATATGTTATTTAATAGTTTTCTTTATATTATCAATAAAATTGCTATGATATTTTATAAAAAAAAATTTGATTATTCTATTTGATATTGATTATATCCAACTTTATACCAGCAACTATCACCAAAAAATCTACTTCGATGATGCCATCTGTTCAAAAAATGAAATCTATAAGGCATTACAATATTGGTGCATATCATTTTGTAGTACTAAAAATATTATAATGAAATCAACTGAATTTCTTATTATTTATCTTCTTTAATTTTTCTTATCTTCTATCTTCTATTAATGATTTTTATTACTTTCTGATAATTTTTAAGTTTTTAATAACAATAATGTTTTCAACAATGAATTCTCCATTTTTTATCGAATAAAAATATAATCCTACTTTATTTGCTTTACTCTTTTCGTAAAATTTATAATAAGAGCTCTGCCTTCTATATTTGTCACTGTTTAATTATAATTAGACATTCTGTAAAAGATTTTTAAAATTAGACTCTGCAGTTAACTATTTTATCATATTATTAACTATAGTTATTATCACTTCTAGATAAAAAAAATATTTTAATATTATAAAAATTAAAAATTAATAATAATTAAATTTTAATATTTTTTTCACTATTGATATAATTTATTAATTGATTATAATTAATTAATTAATTAGTTATTAAATTAAACTACAAATATAATCTTTTTTTTTATATTTGTTTTATATAAATATAAATATTTTCAAAAATTCTTATATATATATAAGATTATATACAAGGTTTATAAAAATGTGGATCACCTTCACAAGGTGTGAGTCTTATATTTCAAAACGATGAAAAAAGTTCATATAGATATAGGTCCGACGAGTTTAATAAACG